AATAATTTTAAAAAAAGTATTTTCCATAATGAACTATATTAATTTGTGCTGTGTTACGTATGTAATGCCACCTAATGATAAAGATTCATAAAGAGTGTTTCTTCCTGTGAGTCAAAATAAGTCTAGAAAATAAAAAGATGAAAATACTTGTGCCAGTAGGGCACAGATTGTTTGAAATTCAAACATTATGTGTGCTGCATAGCTTTCACCTCTGTGAACTGCTAAGGAAATATATAAAGAGTACATAGAAATTAGGACTTACAACTTAAAGAGAAATCTCAGTACATATCAAACTTCAAATATGAGAGTATATGCTAAACATTATTGTAATTATGAGTAAACAGGCTAGAAAGCATTTCTTTGGAGCTAGACACCTTTAGGGTCCAAGATATATTCTCCAGTAATGGTGTCAGCAACATTCCCAGAACACCATCACCACAGTATTTTGTGAATCAGGGGAAAAGGGGATTTTTTTCCAAGTTGACCATAAAGCTGTCTAAAAAGTAATGTGATATGCTGGATACACTCCCTTGATAAAAMATAGTTGTAAAGTAGGATTTAAGCAAAATATTTGTCAGCTTAAAGAATGGGAAACTTTCAGCCAGTTCCTATAATTTTTATCAAGCTCTATATTACAGTTATTGACATGGTCTGCATTCATATTTTCTGAAATATGGACAGATTTCAGAACACTTGCAGCTTTTGTATAGCAGAGATATTTTTCTTCTGTGATCCATATAATGCAGCCATATGATGAAGATGCATAAAATGGTGTTTCTTCTTGTGAATCAAAACAGGTGTAGGAAATAACAAGATTTCAGAAACTAAATTAAGAGAATATTACTACACAGAAAGAATTACTCAGTTCCATTAGTTTTATTCCTTTTTTTCCTAGCAGCTTCCTTTCTGTCACCTACCATGACAAAGTTACGGCTTTTTCCCCTCATCCTCATGAATTCTCCTTTCCATCTACTGTTCTTAGCACTCCTTCAGAAAGGCTGCTCTTGTATGTAGTGTAATCCTCAAGGCACTGTAGTAAATTCATCCAGCACTGATCCTGTTGGATGCTGGGCAATAGTTTCAAGTAGAGTGTAAAACATCCTGTGCTTCATTCAGTCCTTTGCAGAGGTCTAGACTGATTGTGTGAATATGTGTTACATATTCTTTGATTCAAAAGAGAAGACGCCTCAAAACTGTTCCAACAACATGTCAAACCTATTACCAAAATTAACAGCGCACTCACATAGTTTCTCTTCTGAGTCCTAAATTCTGCAACTTAGATTCTGAAGCCTCCACTCAGGAGTTGTTATAGCAATATATATCCATTGCTGACTCAATGGGATTTAGAGTAATCACCTGCAGGAACGACTTCAAAATTCATGCGCAGACTATAAGAAGTGTATATACGAGGAAAATATACTTCTGTGCCTCCATCCTGTGGTACAAACAACCCACACTTTACTGTTAATTTTACTAGAATCAGATAATCTTGAAGGAAACAAGTGTCACACCTAAGGCCTAACAAAATTTATGGGAAGATCTATGAGTGTGCCAGTTGCAGAGGCTTTGACAATTCACTGTGAGATAATGCAAAGTGAGAGCTGTCTTCTGATGTTAAATGGATACAACCTATTCCTTTAAAAAGAAAAATCTACTCTATGATATTTGTAAAATGCTGCAGATTATTGTAGATAAGGAAATAATCAAGTAAAATGAGTTTAAATAATTATTTGAGTTTTGTGTACTTTTGCCTCCCTATACATAACAGTAGCAAGCTGCCCTCAGAGCAATCACCTCGCAAACCGTCAATATTGGTTTATTTGTTTCTTCAGGTAGATAAATGTCTCATTCATATTTTTATCAGGATGGCTGAATTAATCTTTAAATTGCAGTGATTTCTCTTTTTGATGTTGTAAGCCATACGTGCAGTTTAACTTACAGTTTTGTTCACATATTTTAGCAGAATTATGACACAAATCCAGACCTTTGAAGGAAAAGCTTCAAAAATTGCAGAGTGGCAAGGTTTCCTCCATAGCCTTAATATTCTTTGTTCAGAGGCTCTTTAAAATTCTGAAAAATTTTCTCTCCGACTGAAGCAGACTGACAGCATGCGACCATTTTCTGTTTGTAGAAAAAGTGAATCCCTGGTGTTAATTGTTCATGAGTCGTGCAGAGGTATGTAGGGCACTAGGGATTCTCATCTTGTGACTGACTTGGTATGTGTGGCCACCTGTACCTGTATGATCCCACTGCGGTCAATGTGGCTCTCCTCGGGAAGCAACACTACAGTTGTGGCCTCACATGGAAAGCTGTCAGCAAAATGACTTTGTTTCTCTTCTTTTTTTCCTAATACTGTGGGTGCTTATTACAAAGCAATATAGTTGGTATTATTTTCTGAGCACAGAAAGCACTCAGSTCATTGATTCTGAGCTGACGTAAATATGACCCCTCAGGGAAAATTGCTGTAATGTGACATGATACAGAAATTCACTATTCTGCCATGTATTCACAGGCCCAGACAGGAATTTCTTAAAGCGTCCTTCACTGGAAACTTGTAATGTTTCAATAATCGGACCTTCCTGAAGCAGACATTTGTATCTACAGAAGTTTAATAATGAAAATTCTTTCTGGACTATATGAAAAATTCTAATCCACAGCAAGACCAACACCAAGCTGGTATTCCTTAGCATTTATGCAGGCATGGTGGAAGATTTAAATCTTTCTTGTACACATACCTTAGGCTGCTGTGTCAAAGCTAAGGCCTTCAGCCTCTAACACATAATGGTATTTCATGCCCAGTGAGCACTTCAGCACTTTCAGAAACTAGTAAAACAGGTTTCATGGGAAAGGATAACAACCAAAGAAAAAGGGGTGAACTGATACTCCTGAAACAGCAGAATTCAAACTCCTGGTTTAAATGAGACAGTGCAAGGTTTTCTATAGTGCAAGCACATGCCTCTAACACAAGTGTAAAAACCACTGGAGGTTTTCTCTTCTCAAAGAACAATGCAAAGCCTAAGTTTTGCCTTAGTACAGACCAAAAGCTCCAGAGATTAGATCTCAGAAAGCTTTGTTGCATGGAAAAATAATTTCCATTTGCTTATTCTTGTTTTTATTCAGCACCTGAATTACAGCCGCAAATTAAACAACTATGGCAAGCTTCTGTTCACCAGAACACAGTAACAAGCAGGAAGAATCTGTGCTGTGAGGGTGGTGTCTTCCTGACATGACTTTGATTCTTGAAATGACAGTTAAGAAAAAAATACAGTTCAGTTTAACTGCCCCTTCAAAGCAGGTAGATTTTTTTTATTCATGTTCCAAGAAATCCATCAGTAATAAGTAACTGTTGAGCTAAAAAGGAGTTTGTTCCAGATTCRCTCTAGAACACCTAGTCTGTCCACCATAAATTCTGTGTAGACTTCTGTCACAAAGACATGAGCTGCAATAATTAAAGYCAAACAGAACATGAAGGTCTACAATGCCCTCTTCTTTGAGGGAAGGCTAAAGTTCAGGGCCACTATGAACAGCTTCACATGGACATGGTTTCTAAATTTTTCAGTCTTGACCTGACCCTGTGACTGTGAGACTGAGAAGACCATGTCATATCCTTAATTTCTACTTGGTTGTGTGAGTTTTGCAACATATTTGGAAAACCTCCTGTTCCTCCACACTGGGCAGCTCCATCCTTAGTTGATGTTCCTAGTGTGACTCATCAGGGTGGTGGTTATTCTAACCTCTGGCTGGTGACAACTGGACACCCTCCTTCTAGCAAAAATTCTGATATTATTCTTACAGCTCTGCTCACAGTGTTATTTTAAAATGCACAGGATAAATATTTCTAATGCTCAGTTTTAAAATGGGGATGAAAAAAATGCTTTGTGTCTATAACTGATTGGGAACCCAGAAAAAACCCTGAATAAACAACAAACAGAACAACAAATAAAAGTTCCTCCATTAGTTACTTAAATTATAAAAACCTATTTAAAAACAAACTGTTGTTTTCTGTGTTTCCAGCCTTTGTCGGGACTTCTAAAAATTTTAACTAGCAAACCTCTTACTCTTCTTATTTAACTAAAACATATACTGATGCAGTTGGTTGAAAATGCTGCCTTTCTATATTAAAATTGTATATGGGCATATTTGTTTTAAAGAGATACACAAATTTCCACCATTTGAGGATCCTGACCTGATCTTGGATTTGTGAGAAAATTTTCTTAACAGAGGAAAACCAGAATACAGCAGCTGACAAGAAAGCACCTTTCTTATTATTGATAAACACCTAATTTTTGAATAGAATTAATAGTAACACAACATGTAGTTGCATGCAGACTCTGTGTTTTTAGTGAGGATTTTGTCTTGAGAGAAATCAACTCTGAGCTTTCTCATCTCACCATAGCCCCTCTGAACCTCTTCTGCCCCAGGAAGACCAGCCTTATGTGCATTCAGAACTGCTGAAACACAAGCAATGCTGTATTCTAAACACAGAAGTTACAAGGACAAATAATGTATCAGCTAAATTACATGAACATACCTGATATACCACATATGCACAGCATGGAGTGAGAGCATCCTTTGTCAGCATCTTTAGAGCTCTGAATTACACCGCTAAATTATACCCTTTCTCACTAAAAATATTGAAAATTGAAGAATCTAATTAAGATAATTTTAATTAAATCAGGACTTAAATGTCTGTTGAGAAAATACTCCATGACAGTTATGACTGACACAGTTATTGCTGCATCTGAGTAGTTTTGAGAAACAGATGAACCCAACACAGAAAACATTCATTCTGCACTTTATTGCTAAGAAATAGAAAATATAATTTTAATTTCTGTCATGTACAGAATAGACACAAGCCTAAGTTAAAGCCTTCCAGGGTTTTCTGATGCACAAATGTAATATAATTTCTGAAGGGAAGAGGAGATTCCATCTGAAATTAACTTGGTACTAAATGCTTCAAAAAGCTAATACCTAAAGAAGCAGGAAGAGAGTGGACTTACTGTTTTTTTGGCTGCTCTTCTGGAACTTTCCCAGGTTCACAGTGGGGGGTCTCTTGGGCTTCTGTGGGGGCTGGCTCAGCTCGAACACTGGGGGCAAGGCTTTCCGCTTGGGTGTTCTAGACTTCCTCTTTCTAGACCTCCTCTTCCCATCCTCTCTCTCTTGTGGTTCACCTGATGGTCCTCCTGCAGCAAGTGCTGTGTTCATCTTACAGAATTTATGAGAGGAACCTGATTCTTCCTGGATGGTTTTGTTGAGGAGGATGTTCTTGGCAGAACTCATTCCCTTTTCTTCTGTATTTTCCTCCACATTTTTGGAGGTTCCTTTTAATAAACTGGACCTGTGGCCAGTAGGCTTCAGAGCTATTTTAGGAAGATGACTGCCTGCGGATTCAGCAGCAGAGTTATTATTTTCACCCGTTTGCTTTTCTTCTTGAAGTGCACGCACATTTGTTTTAGGTCCTGACAGTCTTTGCAGAAAACCACTTTTATTAGATGTGTCTTCATTCTGAGAGACCTCATTGTTAAGAGAAGGTTTCTGGGCAAGGGGTGGTTTGGAGACAGGAGGCTTGGGCTCATTTTCTTGTGCTGCAAACCTTAATTTTTCCTTAGCTGCAGCTACTTTCGAAAATTCTGGTTTTGCTTCACTCTCCTGTGGTGCAAGCTTTAAATTTGGTTTTGGTCCCAGAGGATTTTTTTCTTTTTCGGGAGGAGCAAGGAACTTGTTCTGTGCAGGTTTTGCTTGCAAAGGCTTTGGGTCCTCTTTGGGTGGGTCACTGGTTTTGACAGATAATTTAGCGCATCCAGTTTTTTCATAATTTCCTCTGTTAGTGGGCTGAAGCTGAACACCGAATCTTTGTGCCACTGGGTTCAAATGAGGTAAGTTTGGATCCTTCTCTCTTTTGTCATCACTTGAATGCTTGATTCCCGGAGGAGCTTTGGGGTCAGATTTTGGAAGGGCACTGGGTCCTGAAGAAGATGTTGCGTATCCTTTACTGGCAAATTTCTCAAATGCCGCTTTCCTGGTCTGTAATCCTGTAGGGATATCTTGTCTTGGTTTTTTGACAGGTTGATTGTTGGAAGCATCCTCTCTTTCTCTGTTACCTGCCTCAAATTTCTCCATAAGTAACTTCACACGTGACTTGCGGCTCTAAAAACATAAAGAAGAGAAAAAGAAAGAGCAGCAATGAGAAAGTCCTGTTGCAATGTTCACAAGTACTGTACTTCTAAAGAGTTTCCTGGTCTGAGGCTTTAGTACTGCTGATTGGCTGAGAATGTGTTATATCTCATCTTCCTGTAGGGTTAAGAGAAGCTGAGAATTTTATTATATCCTTGCTGCGTTTATACAATCCTTTAAAATTTTCATTCAGGTACTGTCTTTCAGTTACCGCAGTTTCTTTTGGGCATACTATAATTTCTGTTTATTTCTGGAATTGTGAACTGAACACATAATAAATGTAACAAAACCATATGATTTTAAAATTAACATACCTAAAAAATTGGGAAGCCTAGAATTTACTAGAACCTGGGGGAACGTACCAGATTAGTGTTATTCTTGCTAACTCTTTGGAGAACTGCAAGTTCCTTTGTGAAAACAGAAATTCTTCTGGTTGGTGCATGTATGTGTCAATTTTTCTTTCCTTTCTTAGCAATTTTCTTCCCTGCTGGTCCACCCCCCCTCACTTTGTTTCTCTTCTCCATTCTTTATCTGAATAAAACTGTGCATGTGTGGATAGCAAATGAAACTGTGTAAAGTAAAATWAAAAGAAATTACAATCAGTACCACCAGATATTGTTAAAATTACTAAACTTGTAAAAAGAGAAGTTGAACATTCCAAGAGAATAAAACTGAGCTTCATTTGAAAAGAATGTTTTAATTGGTCAGCCCTACTCAGTAACTTTCAGGACCAGTCTTTAATACGAACTGAACCCAAAATCTCAATACATCTGAATTCAGGAAAAAGAAAACATGTCAAAGTGCAGGATGAGAGCAAATGGGAGTGAGCTGGTCCCATTGCACTGTTAGGCTGGGGACACTTTTAGGTTCCAGAATCTTCTGGAGAAAGGACTCCTCTCCCAGCTGACAGTGACAGCAGGGGTGCAGCTGCACTGATATATCCAATTTGAGTAGGACCTGGATTTTCTGTGAGTTAAAATGCCACACATACAGTATAAAGCATGTATTTATAAAGGAGTATTATAACTAGGAACGGTTCTGAATCATCTGTTTGTAAAGAAAGGAGTATTGCTACAAAGCATAGTAAAATGATGTTYGGAAAAAAAATTAGAGGTTAAACAATGAATGCAGCTTCACTCAGTATTCAGTGGTGAGTGTTCAATGTGTTTGKTTTTTTTTTTCTTCAGGAATAGGAGTTTCTCAATTGGGCTTTTGCTTCTTTTGCTCTGAGCCTTCCATATGACTGCACCTTATATAAATAGCYTGTTATTTTGGGGTAGTTATTTATCTGAGACTTCTGCAACTTAAAGTTCAATTTCCCAGTCTTGCAGCATTGCCAAGAAATTCACTTTCCAAACTGATTGTGTTGTTCTACAAATTACTTACATTAAATGCAACCAAAACAMGATAGACATAATGAAACTTATACACAGAGACCATATAATTGGGTATTTTTGCACATACAGAAAAGGGAGGAAGTACACATTTACTAAGGAGATTATCAGGGTTAAGCCACCTACTGCTGTTTGATGCATATGCACTCACACACACACAATTATATTGCAGACATACGTATATGTATGACTAATCATTCGAGATTTGTCCCAGATTACCTCACAATTACCCCACTGATTTTACCCACTTAAAAAGACAGTTAAGACAGCTGCAATGCCAGAGAGAATAACAAGGCCTTTCGTCTCCAATCTCTTTTGACTTAGTACTAATCTATGATTTTTTTTTAAGGTCTGTAACAAACTCTAGACCACCAAAGATACTGTAATTTTACCTCATGTCTGATGTCTTCAGAGCTGCTAGGGTAGGATTGGATCAGCTGCTTGGCCTCCTCAGCAGCTCATTTCTTGTGAAAGTCATATTATTATGKTTTTTTTGAGACAAGTTTTCTACATTTGCAATTGCAAGATTACATGAATTACATTCATATATGCTTTCAAATGCACTGAACCATTCACTACTGCCATGTTAGGAGTGTCAATGGATTTTCTTAAATAAATTCCTTCCGAACACTGTGAACAAACCTTGCCTGAGGCATGCGTATTTACAAGCTCAGCAAGAGTAAAAAGCTTCTGGACATGTGGAAGTGTTTACAATCAACACTTAATTAACTTAATTAACATGAATAGTAAAAGGAAAGGTAATAGTAAGAATCAAAACAGAGTAAGAAACTCAGTGAAATCTTTCTGCTACTTTTTAATGTGTGTAACCAGTTTCTGCCTTCATAAACTCTGTTATACCTGAAGCCATACTGCGGCTTCTAATGCACTGGTCAGGTAAACAGAGAGGAACTGGGGAAAAAAGAAAATCTTTTATTTGTGGCCCTGCTTATAGAGTAACCTCTGTAGTTTCTGTGTTTCCCTTCCCAGAAGTGACAGCAGTTACCTATTCCATTATCACATACAGTGGGTTGTAAATCATGAAATGGGAACTTGAACAGATTCTGAAGAGAGATTAAGTTCCCCTTACCCTTCCCCTCTAAAGTGCAAAGTGTCTGTGCAAAGAGGAGTGATGCAAAAGCTATTTGGGTTATTTTCTGAACTTTCTCTTTGATCTCTATTGGAAACTCAGTGCAAAATATTTTGGCTTTTCAACTTTTGATCTGAACTGGAAGCAGCACGTTAAGGAGCACAGTAAGATTTCCTTTGATACAAGATGGTTGCATTATTCAGATGTGTTTATTCAAATATAGAGCAATATAGTTTTAGTTTTAGTTCCCATGCCATAGATTCATTTGTATGCACAGAGCTTTCACAGCTTCCCACTGCCTTCTGCAGAGACTCACACAGGTACCAAGTTACACTGGTACAGAATTGTTCCACAGCTACACCTTAATTACACCACAGAATTAACTAGCATAATTTGCCATCATTTACAATACAGCTGCAAATTTCTGTACAGAATTACGGTGTAATGAGAACACAAAAGTACACAAAAAGTTCCAGTTTTATTTTTCCTGAGTTTATGGTGGATATTTTGGTCTCAACTAGCAGCTTGAACAAAAATATTGGGTTTTTTTGCCTTGGCATGAATATAACTTCATTATTTACTTTCCTGACTTGGTTAAGCCAAAAGATTATTTCACTTCAACTTCCCCTTGAGGCTACTTTTTCTTCAGACAGCAATGCTGGATCAGTGAATGGAATAGCAGATGTGCATACAATCATTAATTAGGCAAGTGAAATATATGCAACTATYGACTGTCTATAAAATTAATTAAAAATACATGCAGATCTGATTTATAAATTAAAAAAAACCAGCATTTTAACTTATCAGCTGTAACTGTTACCTTTGTGTTCCCAAGTGACAGGGTCCAAGCATACCTTTTAAAAAACTCAGAATCAGATCTTGAGTTTTCTAGAGAGCAATGAAATAAAGATTATAAAGCTATCCCTTTAGGAAGGAAAGTGTGCTTACTCATGATTTCTATGACAGTGAAATAACCAGAGAAGCTGATAACCACTAAGGGAATTGAGCTCTAACCTTATAAGGAATAAGGAAATGGATAGAAAAGACAATGAAAATCACATATGAAAATTATAAAACAATACAGATCTGAAAATTACTTTGCCACTTTATAAAAACCTACCAAAATTAATGGAACTGACCCACCTAACTTTTTGTTTAAGTGCCCATTCCATTCTGAGTTTGTCATAAATTATTGCTTGACTATTTTCTTTTCCAGGCAGACACCTCAGAATTATCATTATGYAGCTTCATTGTTTCCAGAAGAGCTTTCCTCATGGCTTTTCTTCCCCTTGAGTCTATCTGTAACTACTAGTTCAAGAAGACGCCTGCTAAGAGTAAGTGCAGCATCTGGAAAGCAGAGTTGAGATGTTGCAATGCTCTGCACCTACAAATGTATGTGGCAGAAGTATGCAAAGAAGACAAAGAGACACAGTTTGCCCAAACAAGACTTGCTAATACAATGGTTGGTATAAAAGAAAAATGAGCCCTCATCAGATAATAGTAAAGGCTGACTAAACAGGCTCTTCTGCTGCCTGGGCTTTTTATGAAAAGCAGATYTCTAGGATGCAGAGGACAGACAGAAATCCACAGGATTTACCAGTGAGAGACTGACAGCCCCTATTCTACCCTGAAAATATTGTTTCAAATATCCCTCTAACACCAGCAAGACAAAACCAGCACACACATGAGGACATATCATTGTCAAAATTAGACAAGGAAGTGTTCCAGCCTGGTYACTGTGTATTTTCTGTCTTTTCCGTTTGACATTCCTCTACAYCTTTCTTATCTCTCTTGTCACTTTTTCTTGCCTTCTATCTAACAATAACACTAGCTACTAATATTGCAGAAACATGACTAAAAGGACAGCTCCAGATGAATTTGAGACCAGGACTAGTGAGGGCATAGGGTTTGACCAGAACCAGATTATATCCTATCTTGGTCCCAAACCACGGCTGTCATAGATTATGTGTGAGGTCAAAGCATCAATCCATGCATGATCATCTCTTCATCCTATGTCCTAATAGGCTGACCACAAAATTTCTCTCTTAATGGATTAAGTGACAATAAAAACTATCTACAATTAGCAACTTGGTCTTCAATAACAGAAGGCTGGTAGCTTCATTTTTTCCATTAAGAACTTCTATCTGATATAAACAGACTAGTAAATRCCCATTACTGAAAAAGATTGCATTTTTCAAACATGGTTTTATATAAACACAAAATTTCATGATACTTAATAATTTTCTGTTTAATTTTTTTTTCAAATGCTTTCATACCCTGTATGAATTATTAGTTTCAGACTACTGAAACTTTCTCATGATCTGCCCAAAAATTAAACAGATCTCTCTTCACTCAGAACCCCATTTATATTTAGTGTATGGAGTCGCTGTGTTATGAATGTCTTATTTGCCTGGTTATCCCACTAAAGTGAATTCTCCAAGTCTCAAGGAAGAGAAATTTGAATTCCTGACACCGCAAAGTTCCCACCCTTA